CCCCCCCGGCCCCGAGTGGAGGTGGGTCCAAGCCTGGCCAGAGCAGAGAGGAGGCCAGGGCGGGGTTCTGGGAGGAGAAGGGGGCAGGAGGGGATGCTGTGGCCTTGTCACTTTACAGTCTTCCCCACCCCACGGGCCCCTCTGCTCAGGCACCACCGAACTGGGACTTAGTCAGTAACCAGGCCTGCAGGGTCAGGTCAGTTTGGCCAAAGGGAATAAACTAGGCAAAGGATCTGACTGTGGGTGGGATGAGGCCTCCCCCCCAGTCTGGAGTGATTGAAATGACTCACAAGGTTACAGAGGAAGAATGAAGCTAAACTGGCTTTTAAACCTGAAGGGCTGGTTTCCCCGGGTGGCCCGGTCACTGAGAGCAGAATAGTTACTTACCGGAGCACCCAGGGGCTCCGCTTGGCATCAGGACATCTTTGTGCTGAGCACTGCACAGACATATAGCCAGAGTCCTGCCGCCAGAGACCTCGCACACCACCATGAGGAGCCGTGGATGAAGGGCCAGGGAGGGGGTGACACTTGGACACATACAGTTTGCATGTACATAATTGCCCCACAGCCGTGGTAGGTGTGTTAATTTTTCTGAGCAAATTCATCCCCAATTTGTCACAGTTCAATGCTCTGCACAGAGCTCCACCTGGAGACGTGGCCACGAGTGTCGAGAGAAAAGCTTTTGGCAGTTGAAATACGTAACCGTCAGAAGCACCTGTTCTGAAATACTCTCAGATTAACAAAGAGCTGAGGTCTCGGGTGATGCAAGCTCGTGGTTTTGGGGCTCACCTCCTGCAAGATGATTCCCCCAAAGCAAGGGTGAAAGCACAGCTTAGCAGAACTATGCTCAAATTGAAAAAGAAACACTGGCAGTTGTTTGGTTGTGTGCAGCGGCATTCAGAGAAGCGGGTGGAATGTTGGGAATCATTCAGAAAAGGATAGTTAATAAGACTGAAAATATCATATTGGCCCTATATAAATCCATGGTACACCCACATCTTGAATACTATGTGCAGATGTAGTCGCCCCATCTCAAAAAAGATATACTGTATTGGAAATGGAAAAGATACAGAAAAGAGCAACAAAAATGATTAGGGGTATGGAACAGCTTCCATATGAGGAGAGATTAATAAGACTGGGGGAGGATATGACAGAGATCTATAAAATTATGACTGGGGTATAGAGAAAGTAAATAAGGAAGTGTTATTTACTCCTTCTCATAAGACAAGAACTAGGAGTCACCAACTGAAATTAATAGGCAGCAGGTTTAAAACAAACAAACGCAGAGTCATCTTGTGGAACTCCTTGCCAGAGGATGTTGTGAAGGCCAAGACTATAATAGGGTTCAAAAAAGAACTAGGTAAGTTCATGGAGGACAGGTCCATCAATGGCTATTAGCCAGGATGGGCAGGGATGGTGTCCCGACCCTCTGTTTGCCAAAAGCTGAGAATGGGCGACATTGTGAGTCCCACTGAGACTGACCCTGATAGAGACTTGTCCACTCTGCAGGGATTAATGCACCTCGCCCAGCATCTGCAGTGACGCTCACCCAGCGCTGCCAGAACAGTCGGGTCTATCAGTCACCTGGACACAGCACAGGGAGCCCTTAGCTTAGCCCAGAGAATTGACGCTTAGAGCAGGGGTTGGCAACCTTTCAGAAGTGGTGTGCTGAGTCTTCATTTATTCACTCTAATTTAAGGTTTCGCGTGCCAGTCATACATTTTAACATTTTTAGAAGGTCTCTTTCTCTAAGTCTATAATATATAACTAAACTATTGTTGTATGTAAAGTAAATAAGGTTTTTAAAATGTTTAAGAAGCTTCATTTAAAATTAAATTAAAATGCAGAGCCCCCCAGACTGGTTGTCAGGACCCGGGCAGTGTGAGTGCCACTGAAAATCAGCTCGTGTGCCGCCTTCGGCACACGTGCCATAGGTTGCCTACCCCTGGCTTAGAGCATTCTCCAGTCTGGCCAGCCCAGAGACCAGCTAAGCTGTAGGGAACCCATTTTCTTTGATCTCCTTTGTCAGACTCCAGGTGAGAGTCCCGGCTCCTCCCAGCTGCCAGCTCTGATCCCCCACCTCATTCCTCCCCAGTCCCTTGTTCTCCCGCTGGGGAATGGTGCTCAGCCTCCCTGCTGAGAGGTGCGAAATCCTGATCCCCCTGGGGCTTTGGTTGCTCGGTGTCAATGTCCCAGCGATTGGATTTGCCGTTATCTTTTCAAATGCTCCACTGATGTGGGGACTGGGCCCAGACAGCTTGGTGATACCCGCACCTGTGTGTCCCCGCCTGCTCTGAGAGCAAACAGTCCCTTCCAACCCACAGGGTAACAATGCAGCACAATGAAGCTGAGGCACAACTAGGACTCATTACAACGTTACAGAATATTCCCACTTGGTCACAACTCACAATTCACAAATGGCTCATTGTGGCTGTTCTGCTTGATAGAGCGATTCAAGTATGCTGTACACAGTCAGCTGGGTCAGCAGAAAAGCTAGTGCAGATGGCAAGGACCTTGATGAAGAGGTAAAAAGCTCTGAGTCAAGGGAGCCGTATATATACCTAGCAGACTGTTACAGCATTCGCAGTGCTCGTTAGCATCACCAGCACACCAGTTAGAGACTTGTGGACGGAAGGATAGAAACCTTAATTCCCTCATCTCCTAAGCGTCTTGAGCCAAAGACGGCCACCCTCAAGCCCAGTAGAGCCTCAGCGTTATGACTTCTTGGGAATGGAGGTTGTTCATAACTCTGAAATGTTCGTAACTCGGGACAAAACGTTCTGGTTCTTTCAAAAGTTTACAGCTGAACATTGACTTAATACAGCTTCGAAACTTTACTGTGCAGAAGGAAAATGCTGCTTTTAACCATCTGAATATAAAGGAAACAAACACAGAAACAGTTTCCTTAGTTGTCAAATCTTTTTTTAAACTTTCCCTTTATTTTTTAGTAGTTTATATTTAACACAGTACTGTGCTGGATTTCTTTCTTTCTTTCTTTCTTTCTTTCTTTCTTTCTTTCTTTCGTCTCTGCTGCTGTCTGATTGTACTTCTGGTTCCAAATGAGGTGTGTGGTTGACTGACCAGTTCATAACTGGGATTTGTAACACTGAGGTTCTGCTGTACTTACGAAGAGCTATGGGCCAAGCAACTAAAACAAAAGAAATACTATGATAAAAATGTCAAAGCAAGGCAGTTACCCCCATTGCAAGTGGGAGAGAATGTTAGACACTCCGGAGATACTGGCTAGCAGCCTGCTGAGGCAACAGCTGTATCGTCCATGCCAAAGCTGTGTGTCAGAACTTAGACTCTCCCCCAGGGTCAGTTGTGCAAAAGCAATGGAGGATATTTAACCAAAGCAAAGACCGCTCTCGGGCTTTGTTTCTTAAGGATCTCTAGGTCTCTGTTTGCCAGAAGCTGGGAGTGGCTGACAGGGGATGGATCACTTGATGATTACCTGTTCTGTTCATTCCCTCTGGGGCACCTGGCAGTGGCCACTGTTGGCAGACAGGATACTGGGCTAGATGGACATTTGGTCTGACCCAGTCTGGCCGTTCTTGTGTAAGGCTACTCAAAGCACTGAGCGTAGTGGTTGTGCTAATGCCCCGGCCAGCCACTCTCCAGAAAAGCGGGCCCGGGTGGCGGATCCACCTCAGCAGCCTGTCAGGTCACTGCAGAAGGGAGTGTTTTGAGAACAAGAAATGACCATGTGCTCCAAACTCCTTGTAGGTTCAGGGTGGTCATTACTGCCGGGTGGTCGGTATCTTGACCTCCGTCCCAGATGCGTGTCCTTGTGTCCCTTTGCTTCCCTTGTCAATTTTCTACAATTCCTACTTTCTGATTATTTATATTCATTACTATCAACTTTCCCTTTCTTCCATTTGTAATATATTACTATTTAATTTTTTATAGCTGTCTTTAACTTCCTCTCTAAACCAGGTCAGTTTTTTAACCAGCGTGGTCTTCTTCCTCAGTTGTGGGAAGGTGTCCTTAAAAGATCCCCAATTATCACTCAAATTTTTCTGATTCAATTCTTCGCAATAGCTGATTTAGCTTATAATTGTTTTCAGCTTTGTGAAATTGGCCCTGTTAAAAGACCAAGTGTATATATTATGGGTCTGGACTTTATTCTGCTTGCACATTATAAATGTAATCAAGTCTTGATGACTTGTACCTAAGCTACCATTAACTTTTAGTTCTGTGATCAGTTGCTCTTTATCTGTTAGAACAAAGTCTAATAAAGAATTCCCCCGGTAGCAGCGCCTGGACTAAGGGGGCTGTAGTTTGGGGGTCTGCTGGGCAGACCTGTGGCAGAATCCTATGGCATAGGGAGCGGCATCTCCCAAACCATTCGGGTTTTATACGTTAGGTGCTTTCCTGTGCCTGGGTTCAGCCCCCGCAGCTGGAGCAGTGCAGCGAGTGGGGTTCCAGGGCATGTGATGTCATGAGGAGCAGAATGATTCCCCTTGTGTCCTCCCCTCTGGGTGTGTTGCCTGACTTGGTGCCTGCTGGGCTCTGTCCCCCCATGTCTCACTGCTTGTCTCTCTCCTCTGCACCCAGTGAGATGCTGGCGTGGGCCAGCGCCCAGATTCACTGCCAGTTTCACTCCAGCGAGAACCGGGTGGCATTGCCTCCCTCGGATGACAGCAAGCATGACGTGCAGGCCGAGAACGAGACAGTGTTTGTCCCCAACCGAGGTGAGTGCTGGCCTGGCCTCTGTTATGCCAGGCCTCGGTGTGTGGGGAAGGGACTCGGAGTAAGAGACTGAGGAGAGATAAAATAATGACTGGTACTGAGAGAGCTCGGGGGGCTGCTCCGTAGCATGCCGAGAGCCAGGGCAGAGAATCCCTATTTCCCACCTTGTATCATCACCCCACAGAGCTTCTGCTGCAGGAGCCTTCGGCCCCAAACAGTGAGACTCAGAAAAGCAGTGACCCCAGCTAGGATTAAACTCTCGGAGCTGTCAGGCCTGCGGCTCCAGGGCACATCAGATGCTCTAGCAGTCACCTCCCTGGGCAAGGATGCCTCCTGCACTGCGCGCTGTCTGGGAGGGACGTAGCAGGGAAGAGGGGACACTGGGCTGGTTTTGCCTGGTGCTCTGGTCCTGTGCAGCAGTTGTTGTTCTTTACCTTTCAGGAGAGCGGGGTCAGTGCATCCTGTCCACACCCCCAAAGATTCTCTTTTGTGACTTGCGCCTGGATCCCGGAGAGTCGAAATCCTGTAAGGACTGTGTTCTCTTCCCTGATGGGGTGTTTCACCGTGCATTTATCTCCCTTGCTAGGTGTAACTCATTTTCTTCCTCAGCCTTCCTGATTTCGTCCCTGTAAGCTTGTGCTGTTCTTTTATACCCCTCCTTAGCAATTCAGCCACGTTCCCACTTCCTGCAGGATTCCTTTTTGATTTTCAGGTCGTTAAAGAACTGACGATGGAGCCATATTGGCCTCTTACTATTCTTCTACGTTTCCTTCGCATTGGGCTAGTTTGCAGTTGTAC